GAGTATTTCTTTGATATGATACCCAAAAAAAGGCATGCTTTTTTCATTAGGGTTTTTTGAAATCTTTCAGTATGGGCCTAGTATTTAATGTAGTTTTATGCAACTGAGTGGATGGGTTGTGGGTTGATGATATCTGGGCCTGTGTTGAGTGTTTTGGTAAAACTTGTCCCCCTAAAATCCTGTGCACGTGTTTGGCAGTTTAGAGCCATTTTGTTGGGTAGGTTGTTACTTTCAAGTTACTTTTTGTGTATATAAAGAATGTGTATAACTTGTATGCTAATGAAAAGGGACTGCTGCTCCACATTGAGATGCCCAAAAAGACACAGCGATTCTGAGTCTAAGACTGTTGTATTTCTTGAAATTTTTTTTAAAATTTGGTTATGCTATCCTGTCTGTATGCACAATTTTAGAGTAGGAAACCTGTGTGGAAGGATGCTTTACTTGCGTAAGACCATACAGTGTATAGGCAAATAGTTGTGTAGACAAGCACCATTCTTTCTAATCAGCAACAGAATAACTATTTATATAAAATGTGGACTGAACATCCTACTATTTAAGTGTATATAATGTAATACTGAGTTTTAGAATTGTTTTATATGAAACATCTTATTACTTCATAGCATCTTAATTTCAACAGACAAAAGAATAACAATCTCTAGTATCTGTGTTGCTCTATAATTTCCTTTAACGAGCGTTTTTGTCATTGCAGGAATATGCACGGAAAGCACTTGATTTTATTTGGGAAAAGAGACAGCGCAGCAGCAATTTAGTGGGCGTTACTATTAATATTCACACAGGAGACTGGGTCCGCAAAGGTGTGTGGTATTCTGACTCAGAATCAGTGACCACAAGTGGTTTTGGGCAAGACAAAAACCTTGACACAAACACACGCCCCCCTGCCCAACACGTTTACCTAGACTATTTATAAATGTTAATGGCATAGGCAAGTGGAGTTACATAATTTCAGTGCTGGAGAAACCTGCTACAACAAAGCCTGGCTTTGCTCTGAAAGGGTGTTTTGGTAGAGAAACTAATTTTATTAATTGCAAAGAAAGTGTGTTCTCTGATTCACTTTAATACTGAGAGGGGAATGCCTTGGGATAAATTTTCAGAGATTTTACTATAAATACGTAGGAAAAATATAAATAGGACTGTGGTTCAATATGGGAGCCAGTAGAAATATTTTCATATGAGAAAAGTGAAACAACTGGCTTCAGTGCATATCTGTTCAGTGCACAGTTTATACTGATACTGCAAAACCTTTAGAGTAGACATACAGTATTGTGTCTCTGCATCCATCTGTGCCTTAATTCTAGTGATTAGGAGGCTTTTCCTTTTACTGAAAAATCAAAATGAAACCATGTGAAAATATCCATATAGCTACTTAAAATAAACCCACCTTTTCGTTTTCTGCTGTTTCTAGATAGTGGAGTTGGAGCAGGAATAGATTCGTATTATGAATATTTATTAAAAGCCTATGTCTTGCTGGGAGATGACAGTTTCCTGGAAAGATTTAACACAGTAAGTTAACACCTTGCTCAGGTTTGTGCTTTCGGTAAAACAAATTTAAGACTAGTTGTATTGTCAGTCAGCTGTTAGCCTGAGAAGCCTGTGAAGGGATCTTTAGCAGAATTTCTGTGACTTCTGATGTGTCAGGTGCCACCTCTTTTTAATATGCTTTTTTGCTAAGCTTGGGTGAACTGTCACCTGAGCAGCTATTTTAACCCCATTCAGTGAAAATCAAAATATTCGGGACCTTTTTCCATGTTTCTAGTACAGGAGAAGCTGTATTTCAAGATCACCTTGGAAAGTTTAATACTGCAAATGTTTCTGTAAAACAACGTAAGGGCCTTTTGTTACAAGCCATGGTACAATTTTTTTTCTGTCCTGGAGCAACAAAAAAGATCTGAAAATCAAAGTCTGGATCTTGCATTGCACTGCAGATCCTAAGGCCCAGTATACATTTAAGTATACTTACAAGCTGAAAAACACTCTTAGATTGCTAAACTCATAAGATTACTAAGCAGCTTTGTCAGCGTCATTATTCTTTCTTTTGAAAATAGCAATGTCCAAGAAAAAAAATTTATTTCATAAAATGATTTGCTATAATATAGCACGATTTTATATCATAAGGAGTATTAAAATTGGAATAGATCAGCAGCTAAAGGCCTGTTGCAACACTTTTAAGCGTAATGATTATTTCATATTCCTAACCTGCAGCCACCATTATTGTACTTTGCCTCAATTATGTCTATTAACTGTTTCCTACCGATTTGGCTCATGTGCTCACGATTGTACCTTCTGTGCTTCAGAAAATAAGGCAGGCAGCTATCTTGGGGAGTATAGACTTGGAAGTCAGCAAGTTGACAAGTGAGCTAGTGGGTTTTAAAGTCCTTCTGAGACATTAAGTGCAGCTGCTTTGTTGGGGTTTTTTTATACCTCTTTCTCCTCCTGAAATGTATTTGCTTTAGAGATCTCTTGTTTAGAGAAAGCAATTTCCGCTTTGTTTAGCATGTGCTTAAAGATTCAGCCATAACAAATGTGCCTTAACTGTGATAGTTACTTGTTTATCATATGGCTGCTGAATACACTTTTTTGTATGTGTATTACTTGGAAAAGGTGATGTGTATTGTATGTGTAATACTGTGGAGCTTTCAGTATTTAGTACACTTCTTTTTAGCTTGCAGAACTAGAAACTACTGTGCGATGCCAAATGTAGTGATGATTGGGAGTGTAGTACTGGTTCTTCCATTGCAATAAAATGCCATAGTCTGGTGATCTTTATCTGTTCTGTAAAATGTATTGATAATACAAACTCATGATTCTTCTGATGTTTTGTCAGCACTACGATGCCATAATGAGGTACATTAGCCAACCACCTCTTCTTCTTGATGTTCATATTCATAAACCAATGCTAAATGCTAGGACCTGGATGGATTCTTTGCTAGCTTTCTTCCCTGGATTGCAGGTGAGGTTTAAAACCCATGTGCAGATGATTTTAATAACAAGTCAATTATATATCCAGTCTATTTAATAATTTACAAGTCAAGCTTAGTAATTTGATTTTTAAAAATCTTGAAGGAGGATTTCTGTACTCGCTTCTCCTGTCACGTCAGTGCTACGATGCAAGTTGTCGTGCGTTTCTGGCCATGCTGAGTATCAAGAAAAGTATGTCTGTACTATTTGCTGACTTGACTCCTAGTCATGAAAACACTCAAATTAAGCTGTGTTTTTAGTGGGGACAAATTTTTTACTTTGTGTTCCATTTACATCTTTAAGACAAACTAAATCACATCTCCCCCACAGTTCTCTTTAAAAGATAGAGATCCCTTTTCTACATAGGCAGTAGTCTTAATGAGCTCACTGATTTTGCTTAAAAAGCTCTTAGGGACTATTTGTGGCTTACACACATTATGTATCTGCTGGAAATGTAGAAACTGGTCTGTAGCTTTACATGAACACAGTGAATGTGCCTAACTTTGAATATTATTCCTATGCATGGTGAATTAGTGTTAATTTTATTATTGAATTTTAGGTGTTGAAGGGCGATATTAGACCTGCTATTGAAACTCATGAGATGCTGTATCAGGTCATAAAAAAACATAACTTTCTTCCAGAGGTAAGGTAGTAATTTTTTGATCGTGTAAACTGATTCTTACCTCAATTTGAGCAGTCTTAGATAGCCATTTGAAGAAATAGTAGGTATATGCGTTGTTAAAGCCAAAGGCTCATTTCCACAGCATTCTTATGTGATTTACAGTTCTGCATGTATGACAACTGTGTTTTGGTTATGAAATATTTTTGCTTCAGTTATGCTGTAATTAACACAATAATAGGAGGCTGCTGCTGTTAAGTGTTGCTTACACTTCATATTTCAGCCTTTCAAAATTGACCTTGACTCATTCGGTGTACAAAACCTGTATAAGCACACGTAGTACTAGCTGCTTAGTAATGTAATAGCATTAATGCTAAAGATCACAGTCATCTTTATTAACCCAAGGAGGAAACTAAAGACTGAATTGTTCTGAGAGAATGTTCTGAGATATTGCATAATGTCCTTGAAAGTAGGCATGCAAGCTTACGTATAGATATTGCAAGTGCAGCCTTTGAGCAAGTTAATTCTGCACAGAAAAGCTTGTTTACTTGCTGAAGTGTGTGTCTATATTCTGTAATGACCGAGAATATATGAGAAAGCTTCTGACTCTAGTTTTAATTTTGACTTTCCTCTGGTGTAAGCTTATTTCTATTAGAGAACATTTTAATTAACAGCATATTCACCTAATGTGGAAATTGAGACCAAAGAATGCTCTGTAAGCACTGGAATGATGGGGGGGGGGTTTTGAGTGCTTTGAAAATGGTATGATTTGGCTCCTTAGGGGCTTTTTTGGCTTGTGTTTTCAGTACTTCATAGTTACGAAGGAAACTTCGAAAGATCAGTTAGTTATATTTAAGCCAATATGCTGCCCCCTTTAGCAAAGACTTAGCTTAAACCCTAGTATGAACTAGTAGTGAATGTAAGACATCAAGAAGTGGCTTTTGCCAGTGCGTATTAAGAGTGACTACATAGACTAGGAGATTTTTAGATAACTGACTTCTAGTCTGTGGTATTTCTTATGTTAAAAACAGCTGCTTACCATCTGTTATTCTGAAATGACAGTTGAATGCATTGGGAGGTGCCGGGTGGTAGGTATGTTTGCCAAAATGGTATATGTCAAAGCTTGGGTCTTGTCTGTGCAGCGGCCCTTCACTAGGCTACCTCGGCTGGATCGCAGCAGCAGCTGCGTGCTTGTGCCGATGGGAGCGATCGGAGGCTGCGTGCAGCCTCCTGGGGCTGGAGCACGAGTTCTCATCCGGCGCCTCTCGCCAGAACTCCACTTGCTGGGCATTTGTCAAGAGGCTGGGTGGTGTCCGGTCTCCTGCACTAACACAAGCTTAAATCTCACTCATACTAACTGGGCTGGAGCACTGGTTTAGGTTTTGGCCTCAAATGTACTAACTGGACAGAGGTTCTTGTAGCCTCCTGAGAGCGATGTTGGGCCTTCAGTCCTTCGCTGCTGTGTACTTTAGCTGTTATAATACAGTTAACATAGGATACAAAATAAACCCGTGTTTGTTTTTCATTCCTGTGTTTATCTTTGTCTGTTCTTGTTCTTCCTCAGGCGTTCACAACAGACTTTAGAGTTCACTGGGCTCAGCATCCTTTAAGGCCTGAATTTGCCGAAAGTACTTACTTCTTGTATAAAGTAAGATCACTTTCATTCCTCTGACTTCTGGACACTTTGTCTAGGACCTAGAATTTTATTGGTGTCTTATCTCAATATATAATGAGTAGTGTATCTCCAGCTTATTTTATCCACTGGAGACAGTTCTGTATATAAAAAAGATTGAAGTATTGATTATCAAAAATTGTTTTAGGAATTTCATTTTATATGCCTAGAATTAGAAAGAAAACTGTTATGTGACAAAGGCCCCTATTTTTAAAGATATTCAGGTGTTGCTGATAGCTTGTAAAGAGATGTCAGAGCCTACGAGCAAAACATGTACCTTGCAGAGAAGAGCAGTGCCTAAATGTCTTGCATTTCTGTACATATTTCCATGTGCTTATCTGCATATCTGTAAATGGCAATGTGGTAGAATCTCAGAAGTCTCTCTTGTGACTGTTTAGCACTATTAATAACTTAGACTTTACTGGTGTCTGAGGAGGTATGGTATCAATAAATTAGCATTAGGAAAATGAAAGCCGCTAACTGCACAGTCAGTCCAAGTGCACCTATATGTTTGCTTTTGTTTCTGTTTGTTTTTCTTTTTAGGCTACTGGGGACCCTTATTATCTAGAAGTAGGAAAAACACTCATTGAAAACTTGAACAAGTATGCAAGAGTTCCTTGTGGGTTTGCTGCAATGAAAGATGTTCGTACAGGAAGTCATGAAGACAGGTAATAGTTTTTGCAATTATTTTTTTCATAAAAAGATCATAGAAAAAAAACCCCCACCTAGTTACCCTGTTTATATAATTGAATTAATTGACTTTTGAGTATAGCTGTCTGTTGTCAGTTTGATAACGAAGTCTTAAATTACCTGCTTGTCATAGTCTACATTTCAATAGTTTTATAGGTTGTTACTTAAGGATATTTTTAGTTTAATAATGTTTTATTTGTCTCGGAGCAATAAATGAATTACTTTCAAACAAACCATACTGCAAAAATAGAAGTTTGTAAAGAGGTTTATTTGTTTTTTCTATAATGCTGTTTTGTATTGAACATGCTGAATCATTTCCCTCCAAGCACAGTTTCTTCCAAGTGGAAGGAATGCTAATGGAATTAAGTTCAGCAATAATAGTCATGAAGTCTTTGGAGAGCAATGAGTATTTGTTTCACTGTTTTAAAAAAGGAAGTTCTTTCTAAAGAACATCGATTTTATGTATTTATTGATTAATTTATTGATTTTTTTTCTTCCATAGAATGGACTCTTTCTTTTTGGCTGAGATGTTTAAATATCTTTACCTGCTCTTTGCTGATAAGGAAGATATGATTTTTGATATTGAAGATTATATCTTCACTACAGAAGCTCATCTATTACCACTTTGGCTTTCCACTACAAACCAAACCATCTCTAAAAAAAATATGGTAAGTAAGAGCTCAAATTTAAATCTGTTTTAGTAGTGCTTTGAAGAAGTTCCTTTTCCTCTTGTTACAAAAGGAAGAAAAATCAGGGAAAAACATAGCTGAATTAGTACACCAGTTCTAACACTTCATTTAATATGAACTGTTTCGTCATATTAACAGTGACAGTCACAGGAGTATGAATAATGTTTCCATGACTGCTGGAACCATGGCACCACTGAATCTTGAGGAAAAAAATGCTGTGGAATATTAGCAATATCTAAAAATCATTCCCTGTCTCTCTCTGAATTTGAAAATAACACACTATGATATTTTAATCTTCATCTTTATTTTCTATTATTTTTTCTAAAACATTTGCCACAACATGCCTAAGTTTTTGTTGCTTATTTTACTACACAAACCCTTGGCAAATTTTGAAAGGTTTTTTGAGACCACTACGAAGTTAGTTTGACAAGATACAGCTATAGCCTTTGGGATATTTAATTGGTTTAGTGAATGCAATAGACATCTATTGTCTAAAGGTGAGAACATTTATGGGTTTATAAATTACTGAACCTTCAAAACCGACCTGTAGTAATACAACTGTGCCATGAAGCATCATCATTACATGTCTCTTGTTTTTGTGCTCAGTAAGGTGACATAATTTATCTTTAAGGCAATAGTACTACTGGCAAGCCAAAGAAATGTGTGAGAAAGTGAATGGAGAGGTTTCTAGGGCATCAGGGATGTAAATTCCCTTAAGTTAGTGTGCCTCTATTTGTACCCTTTACTATGTGTTTTACAATAATGCCTGGATCAGAGGAAAATGCTCATGTTGTGTGTCAAGCCATGCGTCCTGGAGAAATCTTCAAATTGAGTAGAAAACACTCTGTTTTATGGACATTAGACTTCGAAAAATTTTCAATTACATGCTCTTAATGTGTAACATTAGCAATACGTTTAATGGGTCATGGGGTTGATATTTTAATATTCCTTGATGGTGCAGATCCTGCACCCTCTCTGAAATGTTCTTTCTGTGAACATTTATCATCTTTTTTCTTCAAGTTTTGGAAGTGGAGACTATGGGCATTAAACTATGCAAGAAGTTCTCTGAAGGAGCACTTTGAATAACTGTCGTTCTCCACATGAGAAGCTGATATTTTTGAGACAGACAGGATTTGGCCTGGCACAATAAAGAGGATAGAATAAATTGTTCAAATGCATTTTTCTTCATCTCTTTGTTAAGTCAAAGCTGCTAATGTGCCTAATACAAGTAAGAAAGATCCATTGAAAATGGTGTCAACAAAATGTCTTAAATGGCTAAAAGGCTGTGAAGACGAGTGTGTTACTCTTTTATGGAATTTACCTGATGGGAGGAAAAACATTGATATGAAAAAATGGAAAGTGTAAATTATTTTTTGATACAAACACAGTGCTATTAAGGCGAAATGTCTATGAGAGAGTTGGTGGTAGCAACCCAACATCCTGTTTGTATTTATTCTCATAAACAGGAAAGGTCATGTCTCACTATGCTGATGCTTGCCATAGTGCTTGCAAGACCTTTACGTGATGTGGCTACCACTTGTCACATTAAGAGCATAAGTACTTTAAAGTATTTATTCCAGTAAACTAAAAGCCTTTTAGGGCTTGTTTTTAGGGAGCCTGTAAATACTTGGCTTTTAATTAGCTAATATGTTGCAAGCAGGTTTTTTTGCAAGTAGATAAATACTACATTATTTTTTGTAGGTGAGAAAATTAACTTGCCAGTTATCCAACCGGTTATTTGCAAAAGTAAGAACATGCTAAATATGGCTCCAACTCACTGTACGTACAGTTCCACATGGTTTCACATGTTCCAAAACAGCGATCTGTACAAATGTTAACTCTCATCTTTTCTGAAAACAGAGATTGTTTGAATTCTATATAGATTAATCATTCTTGCCCATTCAGACTTGCAAGTCTGTACGGCTCCTGAGGAGGAGAATCTTTTGGTCATGTGAAAAGATGTGACAAAAGCAAGAATTACCTAAGGCCTGCAGCTGGTCCACTCAGCATAAAGGTGGTATCAGATGAAATCCTAACGACGTCCTTTAGTTACCCAGCACATAGAAGTACAGGGGCACTAGCTATGTCATGAGCAGGCTTGAAGTACTGTTTGCCAGTAGAGGATTAGCTGTCTCTGCAAAAAAATTTGTAGAAACTGTGGATACAAGTTTGGTAAGTTACAAATTAGAACTGGCGGTGTATTTATTTATCTATCCGTAGAAAGGGGTTGTAGTGCACTGGTTACCCTTTATTATTACAAGGTGTGGCACAGAACAGTGATGCATTCTTCATTCCTGGAATCTGTCTGGTTGTAGGACACCTATTGCATTCAGCTGTTGTATGTCTTGAGTACACAGATTACTTAAGGGTTGGTCTATCTCTTGATTTTCTTCATATAAAAATGTAATCTGCATTTTTAATAGGTGATCTGTGTCTTTCATTTTAGACTGCAGAATACACAGAGCTGGATGACAGCAACTTTGACTGGACCTGTCCGAACACCCAGATTCTCTTCCCAAATGACCCAATGTTTGCTCAGAGTATTCGTGAACCTTTAAAAAATGTGGTGGATAAGAGCTGTCCTAGGGGTATTTCCAGAGCGTAAGATGAATGTTTTCTGTCTTTTGTTAGTATAGGTGTGAGTGGAATAGGATCTGTTGTGCATGGAAGGAGAAATATGAGGTGTTACTGGAGTTTGCTCTGCTTGAGTTTGGAGTCCTTTTGGAATGGATAGCCTAGCTACAGGAAAAATCGGTTATGTTTTGTCTGGCATCATCGGTAAGACTTAGTTCATTTCCAGCAGGAATTAGTGACTCTTTCAAAGCAAAAGGAGCTTAATGAGCCGCATACTCCAAGTGGGAATTGTAGCCCATGTATTATTACAGGAAATATGTCTCTCTGATTTGTAAAATTAATTTCGGTAGTATCTTGAACAGTTCCGCAACTTTGCTTTGTAGTAAGCAAATCATGCTACCATACATAACTTCACCCGTTTTGAAGAATTTAGGACAGTCTGTTAAAGCTGAGGAAGTTTATCCTTCTGACCACCTCTCTGATATTTATACTTAATGAGTAAAACTGAGTGCCAGCTGTATGAGGAAAGCTGGTTTAGTCAGTAGTCTTACAATAATGCAGACTGTTTAGAAATGAGAGGTAGCATATGGTAGTGTTGTCACCAACATTGCGTGTGCTTTTTTGCATGACAAAATTATTGATAATATTGACAACTTTTAAAAAAGATAGTTTGACTGAGAAGTTGCATTCTAGTGAAGCTTGTACTCAACATTATTCCAAAGATTTCTAATATTGTGGTGGTAAGAATGTGAGAGTTGTGTTTCAAGAGTCATCTGGTTTTTAAAGCTTTGATGTCTAATATCTTTTGGCAGAGAAGAGAGTTTGGGAAGTGGACCAAAACCACCACTGAGAGCCAGAGATTTCATGGCCAGTAATCCGGAACACTTGGAGATACTGAAGAAGATGGGAGTCAGTTTGATTCATCTGAAAGATGGAAGAGTACAATTAGTACAGCACGCAGTGCAAGTAAGACCTGACAATACTCTTCCTGAGAACTTCTACTAAAATTCTACTAGCAATGATATTTGAGACTTAGAGGTTCAGGAGGGATACCTGGACTGTGGAAGGGGCCACATGAGCTGAATATACAACTATATATAGCAGGTTGATACTTGTTAATATTTTGCCTCAGCAACACTTTTAACTTATCTTCTATTAAATTAGATGGAGGCTGTTGATGTCCAAGTGATGCAGTTTAACAGCATCTTAGCTGAAAATACTAGTTTTCAGTGTGAGATACTTCTGTTTGTTTAGGAGGTCTATATGTTTATATATTTTTAGTCTAAAGTGTAGTGAGAATGCTAAAAAGTTAAATTCCTAGTTTGAGATGATGAATGAGTGCCAGTGAGCATCCACTCTGTATTTTAAAATCTTTGTAACAGTGATCCAAGTAAACCTAACTTCAGGGTTTTGTTTTTTTTTTTTTTTAAGTTTCCCAAACCTTTAAGGAGAAACTGTTGTTTCTTTACTACCCAGGCAGCAAGTTCCCTTGATGCTGAAGATGGCTTGCGGTTCATGCAGGAAATGATTGAACTCTCCAGTCAACAACAGAAGGAGCAACAGCTACCTCCTCGTGCTGTTCAAATTGTTTCCCATCCATTCTTTGGCAGGGTGGTGTTGACTGCTGGACCAGCACAATTTGGGATGGACTTATCCAAACACAAAGCAGGGGTATGTAAGATGTGTATGTGATCTGTTCCTAGCTTTCTGTTACTTTCCTTATTGCATAAGCCTAAATTTTGTAGTAATGGTACTATTTCAGGGTGGCCAGCTAGAGGGTGATCAATTAATTGCAGTCGTTAAAATGACAGGCCGCAGCAATGATGGAATGACAGCAGTGACAGTCTTTTAGATGAGTGGCTTACCGGTTTGTGGCCCATGCTTTGCTCCTGAGTTATCAGTCATGATTTAGGATTTAAAATGCATACATAGTATGATTTTTGAAGCACATTTATCGAATCTGCAGAGCATGTCTTGAGATGTGATATAGGGGAAGGTTTTCCTGCCATGTCAGCCATGAGTTTGCAGAAGCCCTTTTAGAGTTAGAGTAGGCTGTTCTTACACAAGCTTTTATAAAAGGCTGTAGCTAGATGGAAGAAGAAAATACCAGAGAGGCAACAGTCCCTATTGGAAGCAGTAGGAAAACCTGATGACTTTGGGCAAGTTGCAGCCCGAAGGAAGAGTTCCAGACTAGCAGTTCACAGCAGAAAATTTTCCAGGGACAGGTATAGACAAAATACACTGAATATGGGAATTAAGTTTTCACTTGGTCATTCCTTGCTGCTTAGAACTAGCTTCAGGGTGAAGATTGCCTGCACTGACAGAAGACAATACTAAATGCATTAGATTAACTGAAGAAATGAAAACGTTTAGGAAACTTTTGCTAAGCCTGAACTTAGTGCTCTAATTCTGTTTGTTTGGTTTTGTTTTTCCAAACAGACAAGAGGATTTGTTGCAACCGTTAAGCCATATAATGGATGCTCAGAGATCACTAATCCTGAGGCAGTGAAAGACAAAATTGCTCTGATGCAGAGAGGCCAATGTATGTTTGCTGAAAAGGCACGAAACATTCAAAAAGCTGGAGCAATAGGTGGCATTGTTATTGGTAAATAAAATTTTAAGTTCTTAAAATCATAAGATTGCGTAGATGTAACCCGTATCTTACAGATATGAAGATACTGGAAATCTGATAAGAAGCTGTTAAACTCTCTGAGGTGACAGTACTCCAATACAGAAATTGCACTTTCAGAAGATGAAGAAATGTTTTGGTTTTGTTTGGTTCTGCGCAGAAAATGTAGCTAAAGAAATTGCGATGGGTGATTGTCACTGTTTTTGCAGATCAGATTTTGTTATTTTAAGGATTACTGAATGTTGAAATGGTGCTGTTTACTAACTGCTGAGGAAATCTTGAAATACAAATGAAAAATGTTAAGGAAAACAAGTACACAAGTTGGGCGCTTTGCTTTTTACAACCAACTTACTATTTTCTGCCTGGTATCGTCTTAACTGACTGGGCAGTGGAAAGCTGCTCAAAAAGTCTGCTGGGGTTCGGAGTTGTAGTCTGTTTATCTAACAGGAGGTTTACTTGCTTTTCCTTTTGTGTGCGTTTGGCTAGATGACAATGAGGGAAGCAGTAGTGACACAGCTCCTCTCTTCCAAATGGCTGGTGATGGAAAGAATACAGATGATATCACAATTCCCATGCTCTTCCTCTTCAACAAGGAAGGAAACATTATCCTGGATGCAATCAGGGAGTATGAGGCTGTGGAGGTGCTTCTTTCTGATAAAGCAAAAGACAGAGGTAAGACTAGAGGTTATTTATACAAATTTAGCTTCCATCTGTGCCATGGCACAATGTGAATTGTACAATAGTGATTTCTGTTGCTACCCAGAGGTGCAAACGCGTTATTTGGTAGCTCTAGTTTTCTGTTTGACATCGGTATTAGTTTTTTCATAAGAAAGCCATTAGCTGAGATGTGTCAGTATCTGTTCTCCCCCCGCCCAAGTTAACATTAACATCCAGAAATGCTGTTCATAAGTTAAATGTCAGTTTGACTAATGGGAAAATACAGCCTTTTGGGTTCCTTTTGAACCCTTTTTTTTCGTAATCTGCTTTGAAGTGGTGTCAGGAATAGCATTAAGTGTTTTCAGTGACCTACACCGTAAATGCCTCTCTCTTATCGAGCTCCCCAGTGACATTCTTGGTACCCAAAAGGAAAGAGACAACTGTTACAACTATTTTGCCTATCTAAGGAGAAGTGGTTATCATGAGAAATAAGGCTTGCTGACCTCAGATGTTTTGCAGTTTTTCTTATATAATACAAGAAAATTGCAAGCTAATACATTCCCAATTAAAATGTTTGCATGTGGCAGAAAATTCTAGGTTTTCCTTTTGTAAGCCTTCCTCATAGCACTGTTTTATCCAAGCAAGAGTATGTAAGAACAAGGATCCCTAGTAAACCAGTGACAGCATTTATTTTCTGCACGTTTGCAAAGGTGATGTGCCAAAAGCTGGTGGTGTTTCTTCATAGCTGCTTACGAATCCCTTCTGTTTATAACTATGGTTAAGCTGCTTTAACAAAATACTAAATACAAAAGAGAGTTCTGCATTTGAGAATTTGTAATCCGTATCTGCTTCTTCCCCCTCCTTGTGCTTCCGTTTGGAATCCCAGCAACAATCTTTAAAGGTAAAATGATTCCAAACTACATTATTGATAGCAGTAAGTATCCTGTGTTAAAAATGGTGTATGCAGTTAAACTCCCTGGAAGTCTTAAAATATTAGTGTCCTGTATACTAGCTATAAACACCAAACTCCAGAGAAATCTGCATGGTTAAGTTGGACAACTGTTGTAAAGCTAAATCAGTACTTGAGATCTGTATGTTTAAACTCCTTTGAGTGGGGACGTGATGAGGGAGGAGTCGCCTTTGGCACTCTCTTTAATTCACAGTTCAGTGAACTTATGAAACTGTCTGACTCCCGCTTCCTTAGATGTGGGATCTTGGTGGATCTGGGAGTGCTTTAATATCTGCTATTAAAGTTCAGTGCATGCAGTGGGTCTTCGCTTAAGACTGAAGGATGGTAACTAGCACTAATCCAGGAGTCACTCCTCAAGTTTGAGGCACCAAAACTGGTCTCACTATATATATGATCTCACAATATACGTTTGCCCTCACTTAAAATGTGTTTAAATGTCTCCCCTCACCTGCCTCTGTAAAATATGTTCCTTAATAATGTTAAATTATCATATCAATGGAAAGTCTGCACTTCCTGGAGGAAATGAGTTCAAGGGAAGTGACCTTGCATTTGAAACACATAATAAGATGTTGCCTTTCTAGTTTTTTTTCAAAACACTTTTTTTCTCTCCCCTCTCAAAGACTTGGAAATGGAGAATATGGACCAGAAATTATCTGAAAACGATTCACATAAACAGAATTCAGAAGAAGCTACTTCAGCATCTCAGGATGTTGGTGTGGTCAGTGAGGAGCCTGAAGAAGGAGAAAACTCTGATGTTACTGACACAGATTCTTTATCTCCTGCTCATGTGGACAGTGACAGCATTTCTGTTTCAAGTCAGGACTCCTACGCCCCTGGAACTGATGAGACTAGCGCACCGGAGCCAGCATGTACGCAAGGGGATCACCAGCCTCAGGAACAAAAGACTGAGACAGAGTCAAATTCCAAAGTTAACTGGGATAATAAAGTCCAACCTATGGAATCCATATTAGCAGACTGGAATGAAGACATAGAAGCATTTGAAATGATGGAAAAGGATGAGCTATGACTTGTGATAATAACTTATTTGTTAGGAAACAAATGGAGAACTCTTTGGGTAGAAGTGAGGTCCTGATATCTGAGAACTAGAAAACATATTCAGTATTGTGATGAGCAACCAGGTTTCACCTGGAAATTACCACAGAAATCCAGCACGCGCTCTTTGTATTGTTTTAATTTTTCCTGTTTGAAAATGGGAATGTGCAATTGAAGCATTTGGCTGGCTCCACTGCATGGTGCTGTAACCCAACTTCTGCGTTCCAGGCTCCAAGAGGTCACACTCCCTTGGTCTCTGGAAGGCAGAAATTGAATGCAGTGGGGTTAACGTGCCATGTAACGGTTATCGGTGAGAGCACTTGAAGGCAGTAGGTCAGCCACTGTTCCAGTTGGAGCAAAGGTGCAGTTTCACTGGTCTCTACTGAGTTGAAAGCCTTCACTGATAGCAGCGGCTGAAATTAGATTTCCAGTTGTTGTGTCTTTAAGACACAGCTAGAAGCAGTTTGATTTTTGTCCTGACATATCACCCTGAGACATAGCAGTGTTGCTCATCACTCCTTCCATCTGTTACCATGAAGAACGACCTTGATGACATGCAAGTTTTCCCTTCTGCTCCACTTTCAACTAGAGAAACTGTAAACCAAAGGCAGCGTGTACTTTGTAAGCAGGCTCCATCAGGGAAGCTAAGACAGCCTTGGGGTCTACCAGATAAAGGTTCGCCATGTGTTGTGAAAGTTGTGCTCGCGGTTCAGGTAAAGCGGGCAAGGCAGATGCGGAGTTTACAGGCGTTTCCTTTGGCCTGCCAGGTTGAAAAACTCTGCCTACCCCAAGATACAGAATTTAAACTGGCAATATTCTCTGAAAGGACACTAAACAGAACTAGATCAGCTATAACAAAAATCTTCCTTTTTCTACAATTCTGCCTTCTAACACCTTGACTTTGTTGTTATTCTTTTTATATGCAACTTCTATACGTGTGATACATAAGGCAGTGAGGCCAGTACCAGTAGTGAAGCGCAACGATTTTGGCTCTTGGGTCCATAGTTCAAAGTATAGTGGCGTGAACTGCAAGGATGACTGGTATGTTACTCTGGGCTTCCGGAGTTTGTTACAGGTAAGTGTGTGTCCTAATTTGTTATCCCCATTCTGAAAAATATTTAAATAAAAATGGGGATGTTTAAACAACCAAGAGACATTTTGATGGTGTCCAAAAAACTGCCAAAAACTAATTAACTTGATTTATATAAACTGCTTTTAGTGAATTGTGGTTCAAAGAATTGTTTTATATTAAAGGGTAAATGAACACTGCCTATATGCTGCACCAGGCTAAAAGTGAAGGTTTATATATTCATCTTTACAATGGAAAGAAGGAAAAAAAAAAAAGAGCCCCAATCAGAATTGCACCTTTCATTTAGCTGGTGAAATTAAGCGTGCTGAATATGCAACTGTTAATTAGTACAGCCATACTGTATTTATTTATGTATTCTTCTGTACAGTATGAATGGAGAAATCCCAGGCAAATGTTGTATACGTGTACACTTAATGACACTTGCTTTCAAGAGTATCAAAACGCACAGGCACCTTTTGAGAGCATGACAGTCAATCAGAATATTATCCATAAACTGAATGATAACTTTAAATCACTAGAGTAGGAGGTAATTTTGAGGAGGAAATGAAGCGGTAGCGGAATAGTGAATAAGTGTCCTTTTAAATAAATTAGCTTTTAAATGTAGTTATAATTCCTTTGCACAAATAACTGTATGGAGGTTTGGACTGAATGAGTAGGGCTTGAAGCAGCTGGGGTTTTTCAGTTGAGCATTTTATTTATATTTTTTATCTGAGTTTCTTCATGTAAGGAATTTGATCATGGGAGCCTTTTAAAGTGTCCTTCGTTACTTGGAGCCCGGGTCCGCCCCCAAGGGACGTTGCACTCGCCTGGTAGCGCCCAGGCTCGAAGCGATGTGGCCGAGTGCAGTCAGCTGCAGGATCAAAACCATCAGGTGCAGATCAAAAGTTTTAGTTCGATAATTCCTTTGATCTGTCAGTGCTTAGTGCCACAAAAGGAGCATTTTTGTTCCCGTGCTCTTCGACATGGACTACAGCCTCATACTTGTTAGCTCTTTTGGTGGAAATAGAGTTATTTTTATAGCTATAGAGGCCCTCTGGTCATTATGTTAAGGCTGTCAGTATAGCGACTAAAGGTTTTCTTTTTTTTTTTACTTGCAGAAAATTCAGGCATAGATGTAAAATTTTATTAAAAGATTAACTTTCCTTGCCACCACCAACTCATTTTTCTCTGCTTTTCCCACATCCATTGCTAAAGCAGCAGATGTTAGCTCTCCTCTTAAGGGATTGCAAACGATTTCAGAACTCTGTATGGATTTGAAGCATTATTTTGGTGGTGGCCTACCTCAGATAACTGTTGCCTCCTTCCTTTTGGGTTGGGTTTTTTTGTTGTTGTTGTTTCAGTTTGTTCTACTTTACCTTTGAAACCATCATGAGAGCCATAGCTTTGTTTACAGAAATGAATTGGGTAAGGTTGACCTTTTGGGAAAGAGGACTAAATTGCAGGGGGGGAGCAGTTTTATTCAGGTTATTTTCACTTTGTATTTCTTTATGAGGAAATAGGCTTTAGTTTAACCTTTTCATATTGTTCTGAAAATAATTCAGTTTTCTGTCACTGTCATCTTAAAAAGCGAAAAGAATGTATTCATCAGAAAAAACCAAAACCTTTTGGAGAGGGAAGTAAGTGTTCTTCACAAATTTTTAGAAGTCTGCTCCCTCCGTGTGAAATATTGCTCGTACATCATTAATCCATAATCGCCTCTTTCTTTGGTTGGGATTGTACATTTACTCGCATAGTATTGAACACTGAAGAATTCAGGAATCACAGCTGGAACTAGCACTTATTCCATGCCATGTAATTCAGATCAGCCAATTGATTTTTTGTTTGATCTTAGAGGAATCTCCTCAGTTGTTTACATTTATTGTTTCTTAATGAAGTTTCAAAATGAGCCCAGCTTTGGTTCTCCTCCTCCTGCCAGTGTACCCGAAGGCCGTAGCAGTGGGCATCAATAAGTGTTTGTTGAGAGGTTAAAACCGGGACATCTTATGCAAAAGGCATCAGTCAGAATATAGGAAAAAAAAAAAAAAGAAAAAAAACATTCTGTGAATGAAATATTGTATGTTCAGATTTTATAAGATTTTTTTTTTAGCCAGCCCAATTTACAGCCGTATATTTTCTTATGAAAGATGTCTAATAACAGGTGCTGTAACACTATTGTTGGGTTTTACTGTCTGGTGGTAAGTGTATACAATATTTCTAAGGACAACTATGTACTGTGATGTAAAAGTCTGGGCTAAAATGTATATAATCTGTGTACATAATTGTGTACTTGATTATAATTGCTGATTGTAAAGATTTAATAAAATGTAAATATTCTGGTCAAGCTGTGCTTAAACTGACACTAATTTCAGCCATGTTTGAATTGATTCTTAGCAAACCCTTTGGTCGTCACACCAATACTGTCCCATGTCTCTATTAGCAACCTTGTTAACGACGGGAAGTCCCCGGCGTCCGCCACAGAGAAGCAGTGGGTGCCTGGGCAGGCAGGAGAAGGTGCTGACGGAGCCTCATCGAGATCTGCGCCTGGGAGGACGGAGCCAGGTCCTGGTGCTCGTGGGGCAGGGAGGCAGTTGGGCAGCAGCACAGTGAGGGCCGGCCGGTGTCCTGGGAGTGCAGGAGGCCCTGAAATACGGGATGACTCTTCACAGGAGGGTGGCCAAGCACAGCGGTGCTGTGCGTAGTCAGAACAACACCCTCACAGCGTAAAATTGGGAGTAGGCTGGACAGGCACCCAGCAGCCAGCTGTCACTGGGCTGCTTCGACCTCTGTTACTCCAGGACTTGGGCATTTGTGGTGGGTTTTTTTTTTTTTTAAATCCATTCCTGCAGTGACACTACAGATCCTCAAAAGTTCATTTTAAGTGTGACCACTTCTGATCATGTTTTGTTTTTTCCCCTGTTCTAATGAAAACAGGTCTCTCTTGGGCCTGATTAGATCCATTGCCCTTTCCCTGATGTCAGCTGTTCTGATACCTCTACTCCTGTAAGTGTCTCCTCCGTAGAAGTTAGAATTAAGAAAATAAAAGATACAGGAGCCCTAAATGTAAGTCTTTGTTTAAGTGTTCGTGGTGTTTATGATATTAAGTAGAAACCTTTACCAGCCTCACCCATGAAGTGTTAAATTTCTTCAACCTACTGTTACGGGGCTACCTTCTCTTCTGCCTTTCCTGCAGGGGTGCCCCATCCCTGCCTCCCGGGTTTGCTGATGTTCTTCCCCATCTTGCATTAACCAAGCCTTGAACTAACACCAAAAAAACAGGCAGAGACGTTCTGCTGTGCAAGTGCCTGCGCCTGACCTCTGGCTGGGGGCCACTCACAGTGCTGCCCATGCAGGCAGAGGGATGCGGTTGCTTAAAAGAAGCACCAATTCTGCAAATCCCTGGTCCTCTGGGGCAGGCAACACGCTCACCACGGGAAACCAGAGCCCGAGATTTGGCACAGGAGGGTTTAACCTGATGTCCTTCCTGCTGCCGGGGACAGGGGCTTGGGAGGCTGGAGCAGAACCACGAGCAGCAGCAAAGCCTCTCTCTTGTCTCCATTGGGATAACTGGGGAGATCTTGGAGCAAACACTCAGCGAACGGCATTACTTTTTAGTTGGGGAAAAAAAAAAGATAAACTCTCAGAGGAACCAATGTTCTCTCTTAGCAATACCCTCCCGCAGTCTGCAGAGAATCCGGTTTTCTCTTTCCGTGTTCACCTCCACCACCTTGCCAGCCGCCATGCCCAGATGCTGTTTGAAATAACATGGAGTTGCAGATGGCCTCTGGAAAGGCAAAACCAGGCAAAATTACAGCAGGGGAGCGCCCCCAGCCCTGCCCCTCTTATTTGTTCTTTTCTAACTAGAAATCAGGAATATTTATGTATTTACTTGAGGTCTGAACATGTTCCTGCTACTCCTCCTCTCCAGATGTGCACATCTGGAGGGAGGCACAGCAGCATCAGTACATCACACCTATTAAAACTATCTTTAATAGTTACTTTACGATGGTAGTTGTATTGATGGGCTGTTACTCAATTTTCACATTTCCACTTTCCAGTTAGGTCACCGAAGCTGGGGGACTTCAGTGGCTCTGCCAAAAATTCATCCTC